CCACCCGGCGGGTGCACGCTGGCCTCCTCCCAGATTCGCCCCCAGACCAGGACCCTCTCGCACTCAAGAGAAACATCATTGTTTTCACAGCGACGCCTGGACACGCGCCAAGAACGCAGCACGCGCGTCGAGCGCTCTCGCGCTCTCCGCGGGAGCAGCCTGCGGCGCCAGCAGGGGGCGAGACCGTCGTTGAGACAGATCCTCGCTACCCAAATCTGATCGGCGGCCTCTGTGGGACGCCCTCTGCCGCTCGACGCGCGCGCACAAGTCAGGCGCGGCGCCGCCTCTCCTCAGGCTACACGGCTTGAGCAGCATGGCGCCAAGGCCGGTGCCCTGGCACGCGCGTCCGAACAGCTTGCGAAACTGCGCCGGAGTGCCCAGCAGCAGCAGCAGCAGCAGCAGCAGCAGCAGCAGCAGCAGCAGCAGCAGCACAGCCCACGGCCGCGCTGCCGCCTGAGAGAGGCCAGCGCGCGGCCAATGGTCGGGCCATCGACTGTGACCATCTTCTGGGCGCTGCGACGCGCCCGGCCTTGGTCCAGGGCAGCGCGAGGACCCCTCGGCCATCTGGCCCAGGGACCACCTGCTCAACCTTACTGCCACACATCGCCGCTTTGCGAAGCAGGCGGCAGATCGCCGCGAACACCAGAATCACTGCGTCCTGGCGGTTGACAAGCGAAAGGACGTGGGCGATGTCACACAGCATGTCGACCGACATCCGCGGCGCCCGCCAGGGCATGTCGATCCTGTCTCACACCCGGGGCAAATCCCAAGCCATAGGGGAGACACGTCTGCGTCCAGGGTAAAAATGAATACCACAACGCGTATTACCAACAAGCTTGCGGCCCTTGCCCTCGATCTCAAAAAGAGGCTCGATGAAATCGCCGATCTGCTCATCCATCCGCGCAGCGTCGACACCCAGGCGCCAGCCCTGGTGCAAGACAACATCCACGAACAGAAGCGCCGCTCTGTGGTAGCGACTACTCGTTGGGGGCGCCAACACGCCCGGGTTTAGCCTCGCCGGGGCCCTGCTCGCTCTTCTTGGGCCTTTCTCAGCCGCCTCAACCTTTTTTTGGGAAGGGGAGGGGGGCGCGGCGTTAAGCCCATCCGCAAAATTGCCCCAACTGCGGCAGAGCCCAGAGGGAGGAGCTGCCCCGGACCGGAGACAAATTCCAACGCGCAGATCTCGCGAGAGAGAGCGGCTCCCCGAACGACGCCTGGTCAACACAGGAAGACTGACCCGACTGTCAAGCAGATGCACAAACATTGTCTCCAGGTTTTTCCCTGGCTGAAACCTGCACCGAAGGGCGGACAGGAACGCGCGCATCAACAGCTTGTTGATGCGCGCACCATCCTGCCGCGAGAACTGCAGGACAACGGCCCACCTCCACAGGTCTGCAGGCATCGGCAACCTTGGCCAGCATGAGGGGCTGGAGGGCTTGCCCGTCGAGGCCCACACGTTGCTGCCCGTTGTGGACACGGGGCGCCGCACGTCCACGAGCGCCTGCTCGGGCGCGACGCCGCGCGTGGCGCAAAAGGCGCTGTCGGCGAAACGGGCAGCTCCTGGCCAGGGGCGCTCTGGAGGTAGCCCCACTTCACAAAAAGGTGGCCGAGCAGCCCTGCCACGACCTTCACGTGGAACGAGTTCCCCCGCAAGCTGCACCTCCCGGACTCGGCGTGGGAGGGGTCGTGGTGGTGGTGCTGCTGCTGGTGCTGGTGGTGAGGTCGCAATCGTTTTTTGGTCGTGCCGCTTGTTGCGGTCTGGCTGTTGCGCCTGGTGTTTATGCTGCTCCTTGCCGTCATTCCCGAAAGGGTGCTGCTGCAAGCAATATGTTCATGTTGTTGCGGGGTGGTTGGTGTCTTACTGCTTACGCCAACCGCGTGTGCGTGCAATGCGTGTGTCCGGGCACCCGGTGCACTGGCCCACACCGCGTGGTTTCCGCAGCGCAAGCTGGCTTGATCCTAACACGTGGCCTCTGTCCGCACGCGCACGTCTAGCTGCCATACTGTACCCCTCTTGTGTCTCCCCACCCGCTGCTCGCATGCCTGTCCCTCTGCATGTCGCCGGGAGGGAGGGCGATCTGTTGTTGGTTCTCCTGCTGCTCCCCCTCCGCTGCTGCTGCTGCTGCTGCTGCTGCTGCTGTTGGTGCCGCTGCTGCTTTGCTGTCCCGCCCTTTCTCCTGTCCCCTCCCCTCTCTCTCCTTCCTCGTCGCTGCCTCTTCTCTTCCGTGCTGTTCCTGGCCCGGCGTGGCCTTTGCAGCGCAAGCAATGTTTGTTGGGCGGTGTTTTGTGGGGCGCTCCGCAAGTAATCTTTGAATGCTGCGGGGGGGGGGCTGTCTCCCGGCGATTTGCTGCTGGGGGAGAGCGTCGTCTGGAGCTTTACCCAAAATACTCGCTCCTTGCCTGCTCCTCCTCCCCTCGCTCTTGTCCAGTCCTCCCCTTCCTCCCGTTCCCCCTCCCCTCCCCGCGCTCCCCCCCCCCTCGCACGAGTCGGCCCACCTTAGCCTACGGTGTCGACGGGAAACGTTTCTGCGACCCTCGACCACGAGACCCTAGCCAGGGACTGTTGGTCCAGGGTCTGGTTAGACCCTGGGCCGTCGGACCCTGGGTTGGGTCTGTTGGCCTAGGGTCCGGGGGGAGGCCTTCCTGGGAGTCGCCGCTCGTCTAACACAGATCCGTCCGAGGGGGCCGCTATGCTTCTCGTCCTGTCAGTGCCAAGGGCAAGCCAGCCTTTTCGTCGTCGCCGTGCCCGTTGGGTGCGACGCCCTGCCCCGCTGCTCTTTTTCAGCGAACGGGGGCGGGCGGGGCTGGCGCCCAGGGCGCCCGCGGGGGCGATGGCGCCCGCGAGGGCGATGGCGCTCGCGGCAGCCCCAGCGCCTGCGCGGGTGATGCCGCCAGCGGCGGCGCCGGCCGACAGGGGCGATAGTGATGACGCCCCGTTGGCCGACGCGGCGGCGCCGGCCGACGGGGGCGATAGTGATGACGCCCCGTTGGTGGCGCAGCCAGACCCGTCGGCGCCCCTCGCCGCCGGGCGAAAACGGCAGGGACGGCGGGCTGGCTCAGGAGATGAGTGGGTCTACGGTGATAGTGATGAGTCGTCTGAGTGCATCCCTTTTCCCAGATGTGACCGGCGTTCGCTCCTGAGAAGCTTTGCAAAGCTCTTCACGCTCAGAGGCCAGGTCACACACCGAAAGGACTACGAGGCTGACGGGCGCGTGCGATTGTCTTTCGAGAATGAAGTGTTCTTGAGCAGCGGGGCTACGACGCATGCTATTCTACCAAACCAACCTTTCCGATGAATTTGGTGTGTTTTGCAACCGTGTGCAAGATAATGTCATCAGTGCTCTTCCGGCAAAGGAGAGGTGGCAGATGGCGTACATTTTTGCTGTTTGCTGTATGTACGCTTACGGTTGCAGAGGCAGTTCGTGACAACTTGGATGCGGTCCAGCGTGTGGGGGGCCCACAGCAGATTGTGAGCTCCCTATGGGGCAACGAAACGTTGTACTGGGTGGGTGAAACGCATGGAAGAAGAAGGAGGGAGGGCAGGAGGGGGAGGAGGGGGAGGAGGAGGAGAGGAGGAACGCGGGGACCGTCTCTTCAAAAAGAGGACCCCACACCACAGGATGATTGGGAAAAACCCTCCCTTTCGCGCCCCCAGGGCGGTCGAAACGGCAACCAGGGCGTTCCGGCCCCTCACCATTCAAGATCCTGAAGCTGAAGAACTGGCAACAGCTACACAGATGGAGGGCGGGTGGTTTTCATATGTGACTCTTGCCTTAGAGCCGCGAACACTAGTCCAAAACAATTGCAAGAGCGTCACGGATGGATGGCAAGTGCTTTTCAAACTGTGGCTCTCGCCTGAGCGCCGCACACATTCGTCTACAAAATTTGCAAGAGCTTCACGGATTGAGGGCGGATCATTTTAAAATGAGGCTCTCACCTCAGCACCGCGCACTTTCGACTTAAAGTATTGCACGATGTGAGAGGTGTAAAAATTTAGGCGGCTCCTTTTCAAAATAAGCTTCTCGCAGTAGCGCCGCGCACAGTTGTCTCAAACAATTGCAAGAGTTTCGCGGATTGAGGGCGGCTCCTTGTAGAAATTTAACTCTCGTCTTAGTGCCGCGCACGTCCGGTTCAAACAATTGCAAGTGTTTCAAGGGTTCGCATGGTCAACGTACTAGAAATGGTGCTTCGGAACGGTTCAGGATTATCCAGGCGCATGACTTATGCTGATTCGCGGTTGAAGTCCCAGGAACTGTGTTGTGGCACGCTTCAGGATCGTCGCGTCAGGTCGATCCGTGGCGTCGGAGTCCCGAGAATGGTGTTTTGGCAATGGAAACGAATCCTGGTAGGGGCCTGTGAAGAGGGAGCTTGGAAGGGGGGGTTATCCCCGCATCGTTGCGGAAGCTCGGGGGGAGGATGTATTTCAA